ACTCGTTCCACTCCCATCGGCTCCGCGATCCCTCCGTACACGGCTTCTTCTTCGTTTCCTTTAGGGCTTAGGGTATGTAGGGGCCTGAACCCTAAACTTCCTAAACCCAAATAACCCGGACCCCTACATAAACTTTGTGTGAGCTATATAAATAAATACATAGATAAATCTATATATATATATAATATACAATATATATATATATATTAGATGTATAATATATATATATATTATATTATATCATATATATATATATATAGATTATATAATATCCGCCGACCCTGCCGGGGCGGCGCCCAAAAGCTGTGTTTTGCTGGCCTTTTGCACCACTTCACCGCTACAGCCCCAAGCTTACGCTCCGGCCTCGCCTCTGTTCCCTTTCACTTTCCGACTGGCCTACCGCGCTACATTTGATTTTGTAGTAGGTAGATAGAGTAGGACTGCCCAACCCCTGCAAACCCCTCTAAAAGACACATCGCCCTCCACGCGCCCAGTCTGCCCTCCCCAGGACATCTGCCTCAGCGAGCCTGGCCTTGGTTTTTGTGGTAGTCCTAGTAGTAGGTAGATAGAGTATTCTAATTCCAGCCCAATGACGGCCCAACCCCTCCAACCCACTCTAAAAGACACCCCGTCCACGGCCACGTCCTCCCCGCGAACGCTGGCCGCGAATGCTCCGTATCCAGAGCTGCCCACCCGTTCCCGCCCAGAGCCTCCCCGGTCCCGTCCACAGCGAACCACCGCCCCCGCTGCTCTCATCATTCTCACCGCTTCACCGTACCCCCCCTAATTTAGAGAACTACCTACGTGCGAGATGTGGGAAGTCATGAAGCAAGACTTACCTGGAGGTTCATGGGTAGTTATAAATGGAGTTTTAAGTAGGGTAACTATAATTATAACCCAACTTAGGGGACTTATAACCATACTTATAACTACCCATGAACCTCCAAGTAGAGAAGCTGACAGCGGGCTTTCCCGCCTCGTCCCGAGCCTCGTCGTCGGGTACTCGTCGCCTTGCCAGCGAAAGCATTGACAAAAAGCCCCCAACTCCCTAGAGGCTTCCCTCAAAGTATCCTGAAACAAACCCTTATTTGGGAATCCTAAGCCAAGGTATATCAGGCATAGCTGGGACCGGACGAGGAACAGTCACGAACCACAATCGGAAGAACAGATACGGCTGATAGCCAGTTATCCAGACCCCTAACCGAGGAAACCAAGGTTGGGTGAGGATGATCACGAAAGGGACACAACCCGACCCGACCCTGAAGCAAAAGCACAACTCAGTGGTGCTCTTTTTCATGCTTGAGCCAAAAGGTCAATGGCGTAGTTAAGATCTGCATAGCCTGACATATCTTTACATACAGGGACCTCGAGTTTTACTAACTTTCTTGAGTGTCTGGACCGATCTGGCTGGTGACGAAGTAGCTAACAGTGAATCTCCATACATGCACACACGACACAGACGCCGTCGGCCTGCCAGTGACCTTCAGCCCAACAGGAAAGCCGTTGGTGTACCTTTGTCACACGGCCACAGCAGGTCCAGCGGCACAAGAACGATGCAATATCAAAAGCACGACGGTGCTTAGCTGGGCCAAGGGCAAGGGTGTGCGAATCGTCTCACTGAAATTTCCACTCCACTTTTCGCGGCTGCATTTCTGCAGAGTGCACGAGTGTGTTTAGCAGCGCAACCTAACCTTGTGCTGGCTGCTTGGTTGAAGGGCCTTGGCCCCCAACCATAATCTCC